TGATCTCATTGCTGTGAGAGTATTCACTGTAGTTCAAGGTCCTCAATTCCACAAAATTGTGAGCAGCTGCAGAAGACCTGCAGAAGCTGGAGAGTTTGAAACGCATTTGGCAAATTGGGCATTGATAAATGCTTTCATCTCTATATTGATTTTGCTCTATTAGTCTGCCCAGTCTAATGAACTGTACTTAAGACATTTGGGGTGGATGATTTTCTTCAACGGCTCTATAGTGACTTGCTCTTAACCCACTGCAGTTGAAAGCCCATGTAATGATGCCCTGTTTCAATACCTTGCTTATCTCTTTGATCGACTGAACTGATCTCATGTCCCAAAGAGGTAAGCAGGAAGGTTTTGGATTGTCATGAACTCAGCTGGACAAATGGGTTGAGGGAGGAAAGAGGGGCAGAGAAAACAGAAAGCTTCAGGAAGGAAAGATAGGAGGAAAAACAAACAGAAGAGGGCAGTGATTGGTGCAATCCTTGCTTATATGAATAGGAATGCAGCAATGCAGACTGGGTAATGTCAGCTAAGTTGGCTGTAGATGGACCATGTCAGGGCCTCTGACCTGCCTTCTTTTTTTACCCTTAATCTGGACAGGGACCAGAAAGTCTTTCAAATGAGGGTCTGTCCTTTGAGAATCCATACAACAGAAGACTATTATCTGCAAAATAGGGACATGACTACTGTGCTTCCAGTAGCCCTTGTCCCTTCTGCCCAGCAAACAATGGCTAAGAGGTGGTGGAGGTGAGAAGAACTAACAGCAACTTGGTTGAGGTTGATCATCACTTCCATCAACCCTTCATGCAGTTTTCTTGGCATGCTATGGAAATGCAGTTTGAGATTGCCAACTGCAAATGTTGTCCCTGGTTTTTTTGTCCTCCATATTCTGTCTCAAACTTGCTGGGTTGCATTTACCCACATTGTAAAATCAAGCAGAAGGAGCTTTGTATGAACTGGTTTCTGATAAAGGGACTACTTTATAACTGGAGTTCTCCATTTTAGGAAATTGTTTGACCCGGTTGAAAATTGTGTCTAAGTCACTGAACTAATGAATACTTAGTCACAAATAGCTCATTTCCTCTCAGCTGTTTGATTGGCTGCGTGGCTAATTTTTTAGAAAAGAGAAGTGTGCATTTAAAAGAAATACCAATCAAACCAAATACAGTATATCCATCAAGGAATTCATCCATGCTTTTAAATACAAATAATACATTTTGCTCCTTTGGTTTTATGCAAACAGATTGTATTACATTATTCTTTGATTAGATAGATGATTAAATGTACCAATGTGGCACAATCATGCAAAAATAAACAAACAAAAAGGAATTATTCTATGCACACATACATGCACACACAAACACACACACACACAAATGCCATGTTCACAAATAAGGTGAGATAGTAACCAAGCATACAAATGAACATCTCTCCAATTGCAAAAGTACCTTGTAACAAACTTGGCTGCAAACAGAAACCCTCTCTTTCAGAGTCTTGCAAAGTTTTTACAAATCATCAGTTATCAGAAAATAATTTGGCACATTTGTGAGCATGGTTAAAAAAGAGCGAGCAAGCAAAAGACATACAATATTCACTTATTGCAAACGCGTCTTTTCTTTTTAGTATTTTTTTCCACTCTTGATAACATATTTAGCAAACAGAAATCTGTACTTCATCTGCAAATGCAAACTTTGTATTCACGTTTGCATTTCCTTTATTTACGTGCACCAAACTCAGAACTCTTGAAAACAGCGGTAGCTTGAAATACTGCAGACAGAAACTAGAGAATGGGAAGAGCAGAACCTCACTGATGCTACCTCCCAATTTAAAAACAGGGTCGTCAACACCTTGTGCAGTGCACACAAAATCTCTGTAACAAATGTCACAAGCAAAGAATGGCAATGAGCAATTGTCCGAGGGCAAACATGCATACATGACCTATGCAATGATATGGCTACATATGCAATGAAACAGGAAAGGCAAACAGCAGCCGTGGAAAAGATGGAAGACCCAGCAAAGTATGACTAATCCAGGCCTCCCTTTACCAGGATTCATCCAAAGAGAAAGATTGTGTTCAGTCAGCCCTTTGCCTTTCACAGCAGGTTGTAAAGATGGGAAATAATCAATACTAAAGTAGAGTTTGCATTCATCATGATTAGCTCTTGTTATGTGAGCCTTCCTCAACCTGAATCTTTTCAGATGTGTTAGATTTCAGGTCCCATAATCTTCTCTGTTCTGAATTACGGGAGCTGAGGCTACCATGGTTAAGAAGTTTAAGTTAGTAGCATAATCAATGCTGGAGGAATTTGTAAAAGAGATAGAAATTAATGGGTGACTACAAGGGTGGGGAAGGGGAGCAAGTGACAAAACACTGCCATGTTGTAATGCAGGCTTTGTCATGTTGGTGTCCGTGTCTGGTTGCAGAGATGTATGGGTGAATTTCTGAAGGAAAGCTTACAAAACCTTGTGGTCAACTCCTAGTTCTTTAAAATTATAGATCATCAGAGTTAGAATGGGCTATATGGGCCATCGTGTTAAAACCCCTGCTTAGGGTAGACATCCAATTAAAGCATCCCAGGCAGATGGCTTTTAAACAGCCGAGAACCAGCTTTTAGTGGCCTGAAGTTGTAACTAACATTTCAGGTAAAGTCTACAGTGGTGGGCTGATGTGATGAATTAGGTGAAGCTGGGGAGAGATTTAAGGAGAAGGTATGGATTTATCTGTACCATGGTATTACGAATACCAAAGAGGTGAGAAGGACTGCAGTTAAAAAAACAAAACAGTGAGGCACAGATCAAGTTGTGAATCCTCATTTTAAAATGACATACAGGCCAACTGATGGTATGAATTCAGAATGACTAGTAAAAGCAGTTGATAGCCACATCCAAAATGGAGGCTTTTCAGCATTCAAACTTATTGCCTTTCTTCTACTCAAGTAAAAGAATATTACGTCAAACAGATACCCCTGTCCTTTTAAAATCTGTTTTCTAGTTTTTAATTTTTTTTAAAAAAATGAAAGCTGAACTTCCTAGCGCTTGGATTATTTTAAGTTGCTTTGTTTAACTTTCGTAAATGTATGGGTGTGTAATATTCACACACACATACACATACATTTTTTTGCTTTTGATTTACTTTCCTAAACCAAGTCAAGTTTAAATCTACCCAGATTAGGAAACCAAAAAATGGTTCATTGTGAATCACCTACTGTATTCCTATTTATGGTACAGGAAGCTCTATACCTTTTAGTATATCTACCTTCCTACATAGTTTTTCCTGTAAATTTAAAATAGCAGGAGTCATTAAACATCATAAATGGGGCCCAACATTTTGTAAGATTTTAGTGATTTCACCTCTGAGATCTCACAAGATCCTAACGAGAATACCAAAATCCTATGAGGTTTGGCAATCTTGTGACATTTCAGCCATATTTTATTTAAATATTTAATCTATGGGTATCACCTAAAAGTGTTACTGATGCTAAAGCACTACCCTGCCAATATTAATACATAAATGAAAACTGCTTCATATGTTTGACATGCTTAGCATGGGCTCCAAAGTGTTTGGAAACCAAAAGGCAAAATATATACAGAGTTTTTTATTTCATGACTATTTTCTGCACATATATTTCAGGGGTTGGGTTTCTCTTAAATCAATGGATTAGCAGCAACCTGTTTTATTTTGTTTTCACTGAACACAGTGGTTTCCTGCTGTGAGAAAATTTAGCCATTTAATACCATGAGCACAGACACAGAAAGACTGATCATGCATCAGTCTTGCTATTTAGTATCTGTGTTCAGATGGTAAAGTATTAATCTGCTCTATCTCTGGGATAAAGGGTGACTCAGAAATATTCTGGTCCCTCTTTTGGACTTTTTGCAGGAGACAGAAAAAAAATGAAATTATGATATATGGATTTGATGACTAGTTAAATTAATAGATTATACAAAATATGTATGTCAAGAAATAGTTTTAGAGTAAGAGGTTATTATATGATGCATCTACATCTGCTGTATAAGAAGTCGGAAGTTATTCTTTTTGTATTTATTTCTCTTCCTTTTCTCTATTTTCCAACATTTTTGTACTCTATTTCTAACTTCTTGCTCTCTACTTTTCTTCTCGATTATTAGTTCTTGTCTGCTCTTATCCTTATGTTTTTTATAAGTTAATAAAGTTCTTATTTAAAAAAAAGAAAAGAAATATCCTGGTCCCTCAGCCATTTCAGGACTACAATATCGATGGAACGCCTCTCCTCTCATGTTCCTACTTTAATTCTAAGAACTCAGAGCCTTGAAGGCTGAAGCATATCAGATGGTGGCCCAGGAGCAGGACCTTCTTTGTGGTGGCTCCCCACTTCTTGAATGCCTTCCCCCCAAAACGTATGCCTATTTATTTATGTATTTATTTATGTTTTTATTCTTCCAACTTTCCAATATATTTATATAGTAACATTGTATGATGTAATGGAGCCTTTTAACAGAGCTTGTTTCAGCATTTTCCTGCTTTGATTGTTTATCTCGTGTGTATTTTTAATTTAAACTGTGAAGTTTAAATGCTTGCAAACCATCTTGGGAAAATTTTGTTTCAAAGGACAGTGCAAAATTTTAAAAAGGAAAATAAGAGACAGGGGAGATGAGTGGAAGTCGTCCTAATTGAGGTTTGATTGTCAACCAGATGTCAGGTTCTCCGTAAACAAGACATGAAACAGAATCCACCAAAGAAGGGATCAGTCCAAGCCAAAGATACTTCCACAAGCAAGCGGTCTAATTTTTAGCAGCAGCAGCAAGAAGAGGAGGAGGAGAGAGAGGTCCACTGCGGGGTACAAGATCAGCGCCAATCATTTTACATAAAGCCTGGCATGAAAAATGAGAACAAAAAGACAACAAACACACAGATGGTGGGATGGAGGAAGGGCCTCACAGCATGCTGCAGGATGCTCATGGACAGAGAGGCTCTGCTGATGGGTCTTGTAGTAGTTGTTGTTGTTTTGAAATTGAAGTCTTACCCTCATCCCTTCAAATCGTGAGAGTGCTCTTAAAGGCCTCAGAGCTCTGAGGGTCCTAAGGGATTTAATGGGACCCATTTCGGAGTATCCAAGAGTATTAGCTATGAGGCTTATTAATGAGACCTGAAGGGAGACACAAAATGGAGAAGTCCAAACTATTAGCAAAAGTCCTACCATTCAGCTTCTCTTCTTTGGATATGCACCTGTAAAGATAAACCCGGTTAATTGATTGATGAAGCAAGAGCCTAAATTGGAGGGAAATGCACCATTAACTCACAGGACAAATAGGGGGAAGCAGCACCTACCGAAATATTTTTTCCAGGACACAGAGCTATTGATTTCCAATGCAAAATGAAACCTAAGAATTAGGAACTGTCAAGTGATATGATGACATCAATCTGGCTGGAATTCCCACCTAATTTTGATCCCTTTCCCTCTAGGTGAGCACATTGAGTTCCAAAGATGTCAATGTTTGGCCAAAAGAGAGACAAGAAAGTCCAGCGTGGACAGTCAGTTCTTGAAGCACAAAACTAGTTTTCCCTTTTTTTTTCTCCAGCTGAAAAGAAGCAGTAGAGATGTAGGCACCATCCCCATTATTAGATTATGCAAACACTATAATTTTGTACTTTTAAGATGAATGGCTTTATCATGTATAGGACCCAATCATTTATTAACCTTTTCAAAAAGTATGCTGCTGATGCCGCCAAATTTACATACATACATACATACATACATACATACATACATACATATATATATATATAATTTCCCCACTCATTTACTCATACATACACACGCACACACATACGCACCCACACATTATACCCACATACCCATCACCCCCACAGTGCCTGCAACATTGCTGTTGCCACGGAATCTAACCTAACCTCCCTGGAAGAATCTTTCCCTAAAAATTATGCAGTTTGCACTGATTCGAAAATGGAGCTGCCATGTTTGTAGCACCTTAAGCCAAGTGCTTGATAGCCTGTTCCCTGCAAGAAAGAGAGAAGGTGATTGTTATTTTAGAGGAACACACTGCATAGACACGGAAAGGTATCAACCCTTACCCTTATGCTTTCAAACCGGGACAAGGCTCGGAGGGGCCTCAAGGCCCTCAGTGTCCTCAGAGATTTCATAGCAGCCAGGTGGTCATAACCGAGAATTGTAGCTATCTGGCAAATAACTGAAATCTGTGCAGATTGAATGGAATTTGAAATTATTGTTCAAGATAAGCAACAACAGGATTTTTAAAAGAAAGAGAGAAAAAAAAAAGACAGTAAAGGGGAGTGAATAGTACCCTACGGAAAGGTTCCAATAACCAGGATAGATTTCAATCATTTCAAGGCAGCATGGATGTGGATTGTGAACAAATTGGGTTAAGTTTGTAATAAATATCAAATTATACTTCTAATAAAGTCATTTCTCCCCAGCTCATTTC